GGCAGGAGGCATTTGGCACAGGAGAAAGATGTAGGCTGGGAGGCTAGGCCAGTCTCGCCTTTTCACGTTTTTCTTCCTGCTTTACATTTTAGCTGCACTGGCAGCTGATTAGACGGTGCCCACCCAGACTAAGGGTGGGTCTGCCTTTCCCAGCCAACTGACTCAAATGTTAATCTCCTTTGGCAACACCCTCACAGACACATGGAGGATCAATACTTTGCATACTTCAATCCAATCAAGTTGACAGTATTAACCGTGACCGGCTGGTTAAAGTTGGTTTCAGCTGTGGGTAGAACCTGTCACAGTACAGCTAGTGTGAGTAATGAATGGGTGAGGAATAACTAGGCTCACCTGAAGATGGTTCAAGTGGTGTTTACCATGCAGTACATCCCGAGTGACAGACATTAACATCGACTGAATACTTTCCAGGAAATATGCTTCTCCACTTAGACTCTAGGGGGCAAGCCCATTCAAACTCTCTTCATCACAGGGTATGTGAAGTGAAAAACAAAACATAGGTATGAAACAAAACATAGCTATAAACCAACACGTACGCTGAACATGATCAAACTTAAAAGGCAAACAAACTAGAAAAAAAGTAGACTTGCCACATATCTGCTGTTTAAAGACAGCCTTGATCAAAATATGCAAAAATGAAAATTCCAAAAGGAAAAAGATATATACATACTCGATAAACACAAAAAAATCGGTTGCAAAGAAAAGCAAATTAAAATGGCAGGTCACCCTGGCCAACAACAATTGGGAGAAAATCAGAATGATAAAGCCCGCTGTTGGTGCAAACATTGAAGATGGCCTCTCCTGCCCTCTGCTGGTGGGAATTTAAACTACAATAGCATGGTAAGTCCTTTCTGGAGCTTGTTTGAAAATATCAATCCAAAGTCTTTAAAATGTTCACATCTTTTGACTTAGCGATTCCACTGCTATAGCTTTTATCAGTGGAATAATTACAGCTATGTAGAAAGAGGCACACATTTCATTGCGTTTTTATACAATACATGGAAGAACTTTCTAAAACTAGCTTTCTTCTTGGAATGAAGAACAGTATCCCAAATTATAGATATTAACATTTACTGAGCACTTTCCATATGCCAGGTGCTTTTCTAAGAGCTTTCCCTGTATTCTCATTCCTGGAGGTGCCCACAGAATACCTGGGGACCAAGGGTCAGTGACACAGCACGATGAGAGAACAGGGTAGTATTACTCTGGCCTCAGAGTTGTAAGTAACAAAAAATTCAAAATTAATTTGGAAAAAAAGGGAAAATTTAACAATCTGTAAAGTCTCAGCAATGGATAATAACGGCTAAGATTTATCGAGTTTTCTATGGGCTGCTCTAAGAAATTTGCATGTCTTAATACTTTTAATCTTTACCCAATCCTGTGAGGTGGGTATTATACTTAACCCCATTTTGCAACTGAGGAAACTAAGGCAAAGAGTGGATAAGACCCTTGCTGAAGGTTGAATGAGCCAGTAATGACAGAACCGGCAATGCCAGCCAGGGAGGCAGCTTGCTCCAGAGTGCAGTGCCTTAATAGGGTTAACTAAGGGTTGGCTAGATCTGGCAGGTGGCACAGTGCTACCAAGACTTCTTAGCTTGCCTCTCAGCGCTTCCTTCCCACGTGGGCTCCCGTTTCCAGAATAGCAGCCCCAAGCCCAAACCGACGTCAGAGCTCACTCTGTCAAAGCAACCGTGAACATATTCCCAGCCTAAGACCTGGAGAATGAGAGGTCTGTTTGGGTCTTGTGCCCTCCCCTAGGACAGGGTCAGTCTCTGGAAACCAAGCAGAGCCACTATAGAAAGCAACAGTGGCTTCTCAGAGGAAGGGTGGTAGGCAGACACATGTATGTCCGTACTGAAGAACAGTTAGCTGTGCTCAAGGACCAAAGTAAGCACGGGAAATGGAGTTCCTGCTGTGCTTGGTGTTTGCAAGGCACTGAGAGATACTAAGACATGGTGGTTTTCCCCAATCCACTGGGGGAAACACAGGCAAAAGGAAAACAGCTATAAAGCTTGGTGATTCTTTTTTCTTTTTTTTTTTGAGACGGAGTCTTGCTCTGTTGCCCAGGCTGCAGTGCAATGGCATGATCTCCGCTCACCACAACCTCTGTCTCCTGAGTTCAAGCAATTCTCCTGCCTCAGCCTCCAGAGTAGCTGGGATTACAGGTGCATGCCACCATGCCTGGCTAATTTTTTGTCTTTAGTAGAGATGGGGTTTCACCATGTTGGGTAGGCTCATCTTGAACTCCTGACCTTGTGATCCACCCACCTCAGTCTCCCAATTACAGGTGAGCGCCATCGTGCCCAGCCAAGCTTGGTAATTCTTGGAAGAGAGACATGAACCCAGGGACAAGGGAATACTGATCAAGGGGTGAACAAGTGCCAGATCTTGAAGACCCGGCAAGCCAAATTAAGGAGTAGTGACTCATAACTACCACTGTTTGAAGGCAAACTATATATGCCAGGCACTAAGCTAAACAATCTGTATACAACTCTCTTCACTCCAACACCCGATGTTTCACAGATGAGTAAACTGATACTTAGAACAATAAAATAACTTGCCCAAGGACTCACAGCGATGGTGGCAGAATTCAACAGTCTAGAAACACCTTGGATTTATCCACATTGCTAAGGGGAGGCCAGCAAAGCTCACAATGAAATTCATTTGTTTCCCACAAGTAATCCACATTGAAAATTTCTTAATTGGTAGCAAGTCTGGCATCACACATCTATCTATAATTAGGGTGCCACAGTACACACACTGAAGGGTTTCTTTTCTTTTTTTTGAGATGGAGTTTCACTCTTGTTGCCCAGGCTGGAGTACAATGGGGAGTTCTTGGCTCACTGCAAACTCCACCTCCTGGCTTCTAGTGATTCTCCTGCTTTAGCCTCCCAGGCAGCTGGGATTACAAGCACCCACCACCATGTCCGGTTAATTTTTTATTTATTTATTTTTTAATTTTTAGTAGAGATGGGGTTTCACGATGTTGGCTAGGTTGGTCTCGAACTCCTGATCTCCCACCTGCGTCAGCCTCTCAAAGTGCTGAGGTTACAGGCATGAGCCTCCGAACCCCGCCAAAGGGCTTCTCTAATGGACCTCAGAAACGAAGATATGGTCATTAAGTACTGGAATTTTTCCAACTTGCTTTTAAGTACCATCAATATGGTGTGCAAGTAGTGTCATTTAAAGTATCAGAGAAAAAAAACGCTGGAAGGATTTCAGATCCAATTTAAAAGGCCCTGGAACCACAAAAGGAGAAACTTGATCTGACCTGAACATACCATGTCTGGGAACCTGGGATAGCTGTGATGTCTTGGGAGTATTCAATTACCAGGGAGACCCTGAACTGACCCTTTTTCGAGGAGACAATCAACAGAAGATTGTATTTGATGGGACAAATTCACTTCCTGTTAACAAGGCTTCTAACCCTGTTCAAGAGAGAGAAAATGGGAGGGCAAAGACTCCAGTTGGTTTTGAAGAAATGAATCCAGTTTTTTAGGAGTCTTGAAAGAACAAGAAAGGAAAAAAAATAAAGCAAAAAGGAGGTATTGTTTAGAAAGGCCGTATGATCTACCAGCTGTTAAATCCTGTGCTCTGAAGGGAGAAGAAAGGCTGAAGAAACGATAAATCAGTAGAGATATGGCACTCTTTTCTTTCTTTTTTCAATTTTTCTTTTTTGGAGACGGACACTTGCTTTGTTGCCCAGGCTGGAGTGCAGTGGCCCGACCTCGGCTCACTGCAACCTCCACCTCCCAGGTTCAAACGATTCTCCTGCCTCAGCCTCCCGAGTAGCTGGAACTACAGGCGTCCACCACCATGCCCGGCTAATTTTTGTATTTTTAGTAGAGACGGGATTTCGCCATGTTGGCTAGGCTGGTCTCGAACGCTTGACCCCGTGATCCGACCGCCTCGGTCTCCCAAAGTGCTGGGATTATAGGCGTGAGCCACCACGCCCAGCCGGCATTCTTTTATTATTTTTTATTACATTCCTCTTACAAACACCCCAACACATAGAAGATATTAAACAGTGCCTAGTAATTCAAATTTTACTTCCTATGTAGCTCTCTGGCTCTCCGCCCCTGCACTCAACCCACCTGAAGTCACTCTCTCTGCTCACTCACACTCCGGCGGAATAAACTGCCCTTTATTCGGCACTTCCTCAGCCCCATGTATAGTGTTTCTATTGTGGCACTGTATTGAAGCTGCTTTCTCTACCAGATTCTTACGTCCGTCCTCCCCATTTTATCACATGCAGCTGCTCAGAAAATGTTGGCTACATTGATGCTTTCATACATTTATAAATACTGAGTTACCTTGTAGTATACCTCTGTGGTCGTCTTTGGACCAGGAGCTCCTCCCGCGCAAGGGCAATGTCTTACTCATCTTTACCTCCACCGCTAGCATGGTGCCTAACAGCGCAAATAGTAGATGCTCAGTAAACGTTTGCGTGGCTAAGCCACCATTTCTCAGCACAAGACTCAGTGGGAAAGGGTTGGGAGAGTAATCCGCGGGATAATTGACGGAGAAAACGTTGTGAACTCGTAACACACGGTTTGCGGGCGTGAGTAGTATGGAAAACGGCAGCTTGCTAGGAAAGTAGTTCCCTCGTTTCAGACGGAGACGATTTTTCACAAGTAGGGAGGAGGAGGAGGCGCCCAGGAACCACCACGTACAGGTGTTTCTCACCGAAACGCACAACAAATCTAGAGCCAAGTGTAATAAGGAAACGGGGCCCAAAAAGTTAACTGAATGCCCAGGGGCCCCCAAGTGGTCACTGCCAGGTTCTAGCATCCTTTCCAGCAGGCCCTTCTCCTCCTTTCAAGTCGTGCTGGGCGACTCCTGAAAAGCAAAAGTAGGAAAAAACTGGGAGCTGAGAGGGGGGGCCTGGACAGAGGGTACCTCTCCGGCTCTGGCACCCGGGAGCCTGCGAGAGCTTCGGCAACGCAGCGTCTCACGGTCGCGCATCGCGGCCCGGCACGCACCTATTGGCAGCGGTAATCCTGGTCCTCCTGGGCTTCCGTAGGTCGGAATAAACTTGGAACCTTTCGACTCGGAAAGCTCAGTGTTTTAGAATTCAAATCACACTTGCTGGTTTGAGAGCGGAATCCACGAGGCCGACTCCACCCTAACTGCTCGCTAACTAAAACAGCTAAGACAACACAGTCTCCAACACCAACGCCAGGAAGCCCAGCTCCGAGGCCGACTCCGGAAGTCCTTGTCGGACGTCACTTCCGTCGCATTTCAGGGCGGTACCAAGATGGAAGCTTCGCGGGCCCGGCAGCAGCTCCGGCGGCGATTCCTGCTCCTGCCGGACGCCGAGGCCCAGCTGGACCGCGAGGGTGAGGCCAGGCCGGGTGAGGCGCGCACCAAGCCGCCCTGAGGTTCTCAGAGGCGAGGCGCCGGAAAACGACCGGCCTCTCGCGGCCCCGGCCCAGTCTGGAGGGACCGAGTTTCGGCTTTGCAAGTCGATTATTTAAATGTTTGGAAAGATCCTTAGAATCGCGTAGTGCTGTGCATTTTCATCTCAGCTGCGCTTCAGAATTCTGTGGAGAGCTGATTTGACACCTGTTTGGAAATATCGATTAAAATTAAAAATACCCACCCCTTCTAATTTTAAGAATTTACCAGAGACATAACTGTACCACAGTGTACAAAGATGTGCTCAGTGCGAATGACTAGAAATAGCTATCTTGCCCGTCAGCAGAAAGCTGGTTAAGTAAATTTGGATAAATCTATACATGACACGCCAGGCAGACTTGTATGTACCAGTGGGGATGATTTTCAAAGGGAGGTGCAGAACAGTATATCGCATGTCGCCATTTGGGTACAAAAAGGTAACCTGTGATGTATGTTCACCTGTAGATGCATAACATATGGAAGAATTCAGTAGAAATTGTAAGTGGTGGTTGCTTCTAGGCATTAAATCTGAGGTTAAGATTGGGAGACAGATATTTCAGTTTGGATATTTTTATCCTGAATGTTTAAAAACCATGTCCATTTATTACCTTTTCAAAATAAACATGAATAATATCATGTCCAGGCATGACAATGTATATGTGTTGAGGATATTCCAGAATATCATGAACATGCTCCCCAGGGTTTCTGATGGTCATTTAAAGGCCCAAAACCTCATCTACAGACCAGTGATTCACACATGAACATAGAGAGAGGGCATGTCAGAATCCCCTGAAAATTTTCTAGTAATCACCCGTCTGACCCAACCCCCATCCACCCATTTTTTTTTTTTTTTTTTTTTTTTTTTTTTTTTTTTTTTTTTTTTTTTTTGCTGGAGTGCAATGGCGCAATCTCCGCTCACCGCAACCTCCGCCTCCTGTCTTCTGGTATTCAAGCGATTCTCCTGCCTCAGCCTCCCGAGGAGCTGGGATTACAGGTACCTATCACCCTGCACAGCTAATTTTTTGTATTTTTTAAAGAGACGGGGTTTCGCCATGTTGGCCAGGATGGTTTCGAACCCCTGACCTCAGGTAATCCATCCGCTTCGGCTTCCCAAAATGCTGGGATTACAGGCGTGAGCCACGACGGCGCCTGGCTTCATCCACCCATTCTTTCCTCATTCACCCGTTCTTTCAGATTGGGTTCCAGATGGGGAAAAATGACTTGTCCATCACCTGTCTAGATAGTGCTGTGCTAGAACTAGAACTCTGTTGTGCCATTTCCACTTTTGAGCTGTATTTAAAGTAATTAAAATATTTACTTATAGGCTGGGCGTGGTGTCTCACGCCTGTAATCCCAGCACTTCGGGAGGCCGAGGCGGGTGGATCACGAGGTCAGGAGTTCCAGACTAGCCTAGCTAACATGGTGAAACTCCGTCTGTACTAAAAGTACAAAAATTAGCCGGGCGTGGTGGCGGGCATCTGTAATTCCAGCTACTTGGGAGGCTGAGGCAGGAGAATTGCTTGAACCTGGGAGGTGGAGGTTGCAGTGAGCCGAGATTGCGCCGTTGCACCCCAGCCTAGGTGACAGAGCGAGACTCCGACTCAAAAAAAAAAAAAAAAATTGTAAAAGTGTTTTTGGAAGATCACAAGTCCATTTCATGCGCTAACATTTGCCTTTGGTGTTTTTCCTAATTAACAAGACTAATTACCTTCCTAGAAGAAATGTGAAACATATGACAATTCTTACATTTCCAGGTGGCATTTCAGAAAGACTATGAAAATGTAAATTTGATTTCAAAATATATTTAGAGAAAATAAATTGGCTGTATTGACTATATTTTATAGTGGGTTCTGATTAATGATTTTTTTGTAAATATAAACTTATCTCAAGGGTTTTACAGAGGATTTTTATAATGGAAGAGACTCTGGTTCTTAGCTCTAGGAAGTGATTTTTATTTGGCTTAAATTAAGTGTAATTTTTCTTCACAAAATTGTGGTAACTTAATAAGTTGAAATCTCCCTTATTTGCAGAAACCTCTACAGCTGTTGAGAAAAAGGAGAAACCTCTTCCAAGACTTAATATCCATTCGGGATTCTGGATTTTGGCATCCATTGTTGTGACCTACTATGCTGACTTCTTTAAAACCCTTAAAGAAAGCTTTCACACTAGTAGGTAAGAAAACTTCATTGCTTGATAAATTAAACATATGTATGATTTTTTGTGTTATGTTGTGTCAGTTGAATTCTTCAAACAGTAAGCACCTACTCTCTTCCAGGTCCTGTGTTGGAGGTGCTGGTGATACAAAGATGAATATGAGATGGGGGTCACAGCATACATATTTTTATTATGAGATGAATAAGGTCCAGGGATCTAATGTCCATACAGTATAGTGACTATAGTTAATGCCGTATTGTATACTTGAAATTTTCTAAGAGTATGTCTTGTTTCCTCCCCCGGTTGCTCCACCAGTGGTAACTATGTGAGGTGTGATAATTAACTTGATTGTAGTAATCATTTCACAGTGTATATGTATATCAAGTCATCACATTGTACACTTTGAATATATATAATTTTTTTTTTTTTTTTTTTTTTGAGACGGAGTTTCGCTCTTGTTACCCAGGCTGGAGTGCAATGGCGCAATCTCGGCTCACTGCAACCTACGCCTCCTGGGTTCAGGCAATTCTCCTGCCTCAGCCTCCTCAGTAGCTGGGATTACAGGCACGCACCACCATGCCCAGCTAATTTTTTGTAGTTTTAGTAGAGACGGGGTTTCACCATGTTGGTCTTGATCTCTTGACCTCGTGATCCACCTGCCTCAGCCTCCCAAAGTGCTGGGATTACAGGCGTGAACCACCACGCCCGGCCGAATATATATAATTTTAATTTGTCAATTATACCTCAGTAAAGCTGGAAAAAATAAAACCAATGAGAGGGTTTGTGCTCTGGGCGTACACAGTAGAGTTGAAGAGAACTGAAAATTATTTATGTGCAAATAAATATGTTGTAGGATGAGGAAGGTAATCAATTTAAGAAAGACCTAATCCATTTAAGGAAAAAAGGTGGGAGAATGACTGAAGGTCTTCATGAAGACCAAGTATAAGAGTGCGGGGAAGGGCTGGGTATGGTGGCTCGTGCATGTAATCTCAGCAGTTGGGAGGCCAAGGTGGGCAGATCACGAGGTCAGGAGTTCAAGACCAGGCTGACCAACATGGTGAAACCCTGTCTCTACTAAAAATACAAAAATTAGCCAGGCGTGGTAGCGCACGCCTGTAATCCCAGCTACTCAGGAGGCTGAGGCAGGAGAGTTGCTTGCACCCGGGAGGCAGATGCTGCAGTGAGCCAAGATTGCACCACTGCACTCCAGCCTGGGCGACAGAGTGAGACTCTGTCTCAAAAAAAAAAAAAGAGTACTGAGAAGAAGGATCGAGAACTGTGGCCGGTGAGAATCAGGTCTCAGGGTTGGTTTCAGAGTAGTTATAGCTGACAAGGTAACTGTAGGGTGTGACCGCAATAGAGTGGAGGTGAAGGCCAGCAGTGGAAGGAGAGAGCTTTGTGGCCAGGCCAGATGTCCAATAGTTCCTCATTCACAGGGACTGAGATCCCTTCAGTATAGTCTCCAGAGTTGACATGGAGGAGAGGGTTAGAATCATATCCTAGAGTCCTTACTGCACATTGGAGAGTGACGTGGAGACCCTCAGATAATAGAAAGGAGAGGGATGTTGGTGAGCATCAGAGCTGGCACTGGAGGGCTGGTGTGCTTAGGGTCAAGAGAAATACTTTGGAAGTAACAGTGGGGCTAGGAAGACGTAGACAAGTCTGTGGTCCCCTGGTATCATAGCAGGACACATGATTTCTCCTCAAGGGCCTTGAGGAGGAGCAGTGACTTCTAGGAGACTGTCAAGCCAGAGGAAACAAGCCTTCAGGGGAAAGTAGGCAGATGGGGAGTTTATTTAAATTGTCGGCAGAGAAACATTCCCTAAACACTCCCATTTTCTGTCGTTCCAAGTCACTCCTTTGTGGGATGTGGCGTGACTGACTGACTGTGTGATGAAGAAGTGGACGAAGGTAGCTCAGCACCTTCTCCTGCACGTCGGCTGCCCATAGGAAGCCCAGAGTCTGGTCTGCCTTCCCATGGTGTCATTTCACCGGGGCAGCCCCCACAGGAAGAGGTCTCTAGGTTTTCACTGTGACCTGCAACCCAGTGGGTAGGCCTGTCTGTTTCTTGGTCTCAGTATTAGGAATTGCCTGTCAGCACTCACCAAAGCCATATTCTTCCCACAGCTGCATCAGTATAATGGACATTTAATCTTCATCAGCTTGACTCAGTCATTGCTCTTAGAACTTGGGCTGGGAAAAGAGAGATGGATACTTTATTTTTGACTTTGAGACAGGGCCTCGCTCCACTCTGTCACCCAGGCTGGAGTGTAGGGGTGTGATCATGGCTGTCTGCAGCCTTGACTTCACAGGCTCAAGTGGTCCTGCCACTTCAGCCTCCCGAGTAGCTAGGACTATAGGTGCACACCCCCAAACCTCACAATTTTGTTTATTTTTTGTAGAGACAGGGCCTCTTCCTGTTGCCTAGGTCAGTCTCAAACTTCTGGGCTGAAGTGATCCTCCCACCTTGGGTTCCCAAAGTACTGGGATTATAGGTGTGAGCCACTGCACCTGGCTGGAGGGGATGGGTGCTTTAAACACAGCAATAGCAGCTGCTGTTTCTTTCATCAGTTACTTTATGGAACCTGAGATGTGTTTGGCTGTGGGAGCCAAACACATGGAAGGTGCATTTCTAGCTCTCCAACAGCTCCTTCTAGTCTGC